CAGAAGAGATGGAGAAGGGCACTTTATACTCATAACAGGAACAATTCATCAAGATGTAGTCTCAATCCTGAACATCTATGCCCCTAATGCAAGAGCACCCACATATGTTTAAAAAAATTACTAAAACTTAAACCGCACATCAAACCCCACACACTAATAGTAGGAGACTTTAACACTCCACTCTTGCCAATGGACATGTCAATCAGACAGAAACTTAACAGAGAAATAAGAGAACTAACAAATGTCATGAATCTAATAGACTTAACAGACATCTCTAGAACATTCCACCCAAACAAAAAAGAATGTACCTTCTTCTCAGCACCTCATGGAACCTTCTCTAAAATTGATCACATACTTGATAATAAAGCAAATCTCCACAGATACAAAAAAATGGAGTAACCCACTGTGTCTTATTGAATCACCAGGAATTTAAGTTAGAATTTAAAAACAATACTACTCTCAAAAAGCCTACAAACTCATGGACATTGAAGAGTGAACTACTGAACCACCCCTGGGTCAAGGAAGAACTAAAGAAGTTAAAATCTTCCTAAAATTCAACAAAAATGAAGGCACAACATACACAAACCTATGGAACACTATGAAAGCAGTGCTAAGAGGAAAGTTCATAGCACTAAGTGCCCACATAAAGAAATTGGAGAAAGCTCACACCAGTGACTTAACAGCACACCTGAAAGCTCTAGAACAAAAATTGTCCATTTCTTTTACATTTTCTAATTTTGTGGAGTACTCACTCAGGAGGAGGAGAAGACAGGAAATAATCAAATTGAGGGCTGAAATCAACAAAATAGAAACACAGAAAACAATCCAAAGAGTCAATGAAAAAAAAGGGCTGATTCTTTGAAAAAATCAACAAGATAGACAAACCCTGATTAAAACTATTCAAAAGGCAGAGAATATACAAATTAACAAAATCAGAAATGAAAAGGGGGGCATAACAACAGACCCTGAGGAAAATCAGAGAATCATTGAGTCATACTACAAGAACCTGTACTCCACAAAATTGGAATATGTAAAAGAAATGGACAATTTTTAAGATAGATACTACATACCCAAATTAAATCAAGACCAGGTGAGCAATTTAAATAGATCTATAAACTGCAAGAAAATAGAAGCTGTCATTAAAAACCTCCCCCTCCCCCCACCCAAAAATGCCCAGGGTCAGATGGTTTTAGTGCAGAATTCTCCCAGAACTTCCAAAAAGAGCTAATACCTGTACTCCTCAAAGTGTTCCACATGATAGAAACAGAAGGAACATTGCCAAATTCTTTTTATGAGGCTACATTTACCCTGATACCAAAACCACACAAAGACTCAACCAAGAAAGAGAGCTACAGACATATCTCACTCATGAACATGGATGAAAAAGTAATAAAATACTGTCAAATCAAATCCAAGAACACATCAGAAAAAAAATCAACCAACATGATCAAGTCGGCTTCATCCCAGAGATGCAGTGCTAATTCAACATATGAAAATCTATCAATGTAATCCATCGTATAAATAAACTGAATAAAAGCCATATAATCATTTCATTAGACGCTGAAAAAATATTTGACAAAATCCAACACCCCTTCATGATAAAGGTCTTGGACAGATCAGGGATACATGGAACATATTTAAATATAATGAAAGCAAAATACAGCAAGCCGACAGCCAACATCATATCAAATTGAGAAAAACTCAAAGCGATTTCACTAAGATCAGAAAGAAGACAAGGCTGTCCACTCTCTCCATATCTTTTCAACATAGTTCTTGAAGTTCTGGCTATAGCAATAAGACAACAAAAGGAGATCAAGGGGATTCAAATTGGAAAAGTCAAACTTTCCTTATTTGCAGGTGATATGATAGTTTTATATAACTGACCCCCAAAACTCTACCAGAGAACTCCTACAGCTGATAAATATCTTCAGTGATGTGGCAGGATAAAGATCAACTCAAAAAACTAGTAGCCCTCCTATATACAAATGATAAAGAAGCTGAGAAGGAAATCAGAGAAACATTACCTTTCACAATAGCCACAAATAACAAAGTATCTTGGGAGTAACACTAACCAAATAAGTGAAAACCTATTTGACAAGAACTGTATTTCTTTGAATAAAAACATTGAAGATGATACCAAAAAATAGAAAGATCTCCCATGCTCTTGGATAGGTAGAATTAACATAATAAAAATGGAAATCCTATCAACAAGAATTTATAGATTCAATGCAATCCCCATCAAAATCTCAACAAAATTCTTTACAAACCTTGGGAGAACAATAATCAACTTCATATGCAAAAACAAAAAAGCCAGGATAACCAAAACAATTCTGTACAATAAATGAACTTTTGGAGGCATCACCATCCCTGACATCAAGCTCTTTTATGGAGCTACAGTAATGAAAACAGCTTGGTATTGACATAAAAACAGAGATGTTGACCAATGAAATCGAATTGAAGACCTGGATATTAATCCACACACCTATGAATGCCTGATTTTTGACAAATAAACTAAAATTATACAATGGAAAAAAGAAAGCATCTTCAACAAATTGTGCTGGTTAACTGGATGTCAACATGTAGAAGAATGAAAATAGATCCATATCTATCCCCATGCACAAAACTCAAGTCCAAATGGATTAAAGACCTCAATGTAAATCTGACCACACTGAAACAGATAGACGAGAAAGTAGGAAGTAGTCTTCAATGCATGGACACAGAAGACCACTTCTTAACCCCAGTAACACAGACACTAAGAGCAACAATAAGTAAATGGAACCTCCTGAAACTGAGAAGCATCTGTAAAGCAAAGGACACAGTCAATAAGGCAATAAGGCAGCCTACTGAATAGGAAAAGATCTTCACCAACCCCACATAAGACAAAGGACTGATCTCCAAAATATATAAAGAACTGAAGAAATTAGACATTAAAATTCTAAATAACCCAATTAAAAAATGGGGTACAGAACTAAACAGAAAATTCTCAACAAAAGAATGTCAAATGGCCAAAAGATACTTAAGGAAATGTTCAACATCCTTAGCTATCAGGGAAATGCAAATCAAAACAACTCTGATAATCCATTTTACACATGTCAGAATGGCTAAGATCAAAAACTAATGATAGCTTATGCTGGGGAGGATGTGGAGTATGGGGAAAACTCATTCAGTGCTGGTGGGAATGCAAACTTGTACAACCACTTTGGAAATCAGTATGGCGGTTTCTCAGAAAATTGGGAATCAACCTACCTCAGGATCCTGGAATATCACTCTTGGGAATATAGCCAAAAGATGCTCAATCATACTATAAAAGGCATTTGTTCAACTATGTTCATAGCAACATTATTTGTAATAGAACATTTTATAGGAGTCCATGGTTAAGATATCAGATATTTTAAAGAAATATTGAATTTCTAAGTGGTGAATTTTTTTATAAGATTGTGAGACTTTAAAGGTTAAGCCATGTTTTATACTATGATAGTGGCATGAGATTTGGGGGATAAACAAGAAAGGACATGTTTAAAATGTTGTGGCTTAATAATGATGCACTGGTGCTGGAGAGATGGCTCAGCAGCTGAGAGCAGTGGCTGCTTACCCAAAGGCCCCGGGTTCAATTCCCAGCACCTCCATGGCAGCTCACTGCTGTCTGTAATTCCAGTTCCAGGGCATGTGACACCCTCACACAGACATACATGCAGACAGAACACCAATGGACATAAAAAATAGTGATGCATGTTGTGTCAAGTTGACAAAGGGTTGTCTCAGTGACTGTTCTATTGCTGTGGAGAGGCACCACGACGAAGCAACTTATAGAAGAAAGTATTTAATTGGGGGCTTACGGTTTCAGAGGGTGAATCCATCTTCATCATGGTGGGGAGCAGATAGGTAGGGAGGGAGGAAGAGAGGGAGGGAGGGAGGGAGGGAGGGAGGGAGAGAGAGAGAGAGAGAGAGAGAGAGAGAGAGAGAGAGAGAGAGACTGGTGTGGGCCTTTGAAGTTTAAAGACCAACCCCAGCAACAGACCTCCTCCAACAAGACCAGACCTCCTAATTCTTCCAAAAAGTTCATCATCTGTGGATTGAGCATGCAAATATACAAGCCCAAACCATTACAGGAGCCAATTGTGCTGTTTGTGCTGTTGTTTTATCAGTTTGACACAAAGTATAGTCACCTGGGAAGAGGGAACTTTAACAGTGCGATTGTCCCTATCAGACCAGGTTGTTCTGTGTGATTCTCTGAGTGTGTTCTTGATTCATGATTGGCATGGGAGGGCCCAGGCCACTGTGGGAGCCACCCCTAGGCAGGTAATCCTAGGTTGTGTAAGGAAGCAAGTTAAGAAAGCCAGGGGAAGGGAGCCAAGGGGTAAGCAGCATTCCTCCACACTTCCGACTCTGACTGCCCTAAACAATTCGCTGTGATCAGGATTTGGAATTCACGTAAGCCCTTTCCTGTCAAGTTACTTTTGGGCACAGTGTTTACCACAGAAAGAGCAGCCTAGGCCAGGGGTACACTGTGTCAGGTAAGCTACCAGACCTGCCAAGCTTCCTGTGCCTTTCTTCATAGATGAGAAGACAAAGAGGATGGAACATAAACCTGACCACCACCTCAGGCTACTTGGCCAAGAACTTCAGTTTGTGTAGCTTTCTGGAGGAAGGGAAGGAATCTGGGCTCGCTGACAGCCTTCTTGCTGCTGGATGACCCCTATATAATAATTATCAGACAGCCGCTGGCCAGAGGAGCCTTGGGAGTCTAAGGCGCCTGCTTGCCTTTTGTCTCTCTTCAACATGTCCAGATTAGAAACCCGCCTACCTCTGCCCTGTATCGTGCCCTCTGATTGGGAGGTCTGTGGAACACGTGTGATTGAGGGTTGCATTAACCTGAGTAATAACAGGCATTTGGGGCAACTGGAAAGGCTGTGACTGGAATGGCCCAGGTAAAATGTCTGTTTCTTTAAAAATAAAAGTGAAAATCAATTTATCCAGTGAGCAGACAAAGAGGCCCTTGCAGAGGCTCTGGCACAACCCTTTATTGATCATTCACAACAGAAGTACCAATTGTGTGTCAGCCGGTAGACATTCCACTCAAGGGGATGGGAGCAAATTTTGTATCAGGGAGCTCCCTCCAGGCCTCAGTTTGTTGGTGGCATTACTTCTTCTGGTGACTTTAGACTCTTCAGCATCCGGGGTGTGCAGGAGCTTCTGTGGGGAATGTACATGAGGAGAAATGAGATCATGCTTTCAGGCAGCACAGCTATGGCCCGCTGAGACCAGCGAGTGTTGGTGAGGCTTTTGGGGAAATGAGAAGTCTCCCGTTGGTGCGAAGGCTAAGTACAATAGGTGTTGTGCACAGCAGTGAGGAGGTACCCCCCAAAGTAAAAATGGAATTACCTTGTCATTGAGCAGTTTTACTTCTGGGCATGCACCCACAATAATCCAGAGCAGAATCTCAGAGCGATGTTTGCACACCCAGGTTTACTGCAGAAGTATTTGCAGCAGTCAGGGGACAGGCAATACCCAAAATGACACCTGCACACCGTCAAATGTCACCGAGCCTTTCAGAAGAAGGAAACCTTGGCATTTGTTTCAACTTGGGTAAATCATGAAAGGACCGACACTCTGTAATTCCACGCACATAACACATCTCGTTGTGCCGGGAAGCTGTTTGGTTGGTTGGTTGGGTTTTCTACTTCATACAAGCTAGCATTATCTAAGAGGATGAAACAGAATTGAGGAAGCGGTTCCCTAAGACAGGCCTGTGGGCAAGCTTGTGGGGATGACTGGTGGTAGATGTGGTGTGGCCCAGCTCACTGTGGGTGGTGCTACTCCTGGGCTGGCAGTCTTGGGTGCTGTAAGAACCCATACCGAGCAAGCCATGGGAGCAAGCCATTAAGCAGCACTCCTCCATTGGATTTGCCTTTGTCCTTGCCCTGACTTTCCTCAGTGATAAAGTGTTACCTGGAAGCATAAGATAAAATAAACCCAGATTGCTTTGGGTCACAGTGTTTTATCACAGCAATAGAAACCCTAGCTTAGACATTAATGTAGTTTAAATCATAGAAACAGAAAATAGGAATGTGGCTGCCAAGGACTGGCGAGAAGGAAGAGGGAGAATTAGTGCTTAACAGAAGTCATAGTTTCCCAAGAGGAGAGAATTCTAGAGTGTTCTTACACAGCAACATGAATATACTCAAAACTTTTGAACTAGAAACTTAAAAATGGCAAAGATGGCAAATTCAGCGCTCTGCATTTATAACCACAATTCCATAATCAGCTAAGTAAGTCTTGTAGCTCGCTCAGTGAAGTACCTGCCATGCAATTGTAAGGACCTGAATTTGATCACCCAAACCTTTGGAAAAAAGAAAAGTCCTAAAAATTCTGGTGAGGCGCCCTCTTGTCTGGCAGAGCTGGCAAGGTGGATACAGGAAGATTCCTGGGGCTCACTGACCCCACCTCATCTATTTGTCAAGTTCGGGGCCAATGTCTTAAAATATAGGATGAATGGCAGCTGAGGGCTGACACCCAAGGTTGTCACCAGTGTACGTACACACACACACACACACACGGTTAAAAAACTTCCTCAACGTTTCTTTGTAGACATAAATTTTTTGGCAACGGAATCAGCCACTTGGATTTTTCTCTAGGTGTAGCTTTTAGCTTTTGTACGTTTGAATTTTCTTATACCAAGATTTGCTTGTAATTTGGGTGTTAGGGACTCAAGGGGTCAATTCTAGCATCTCTGGGGGCTGCTCATCTTGGGTCATCACTCTCTTCCTTCCCCAAGGGCCAAAATCTCATGGAACTGGGACTCTGGAAACACAAGAGTGTTCTCTTGACTGGCTCTGGAGGTCATGGAATTGATAGAACTAAGGATGGAGGGACCAGGTGTTGTGGCCTTAATGTGATATAATTGTATAATTGTACCAGAACAGGGCTCCTTAAACCCATGGGATTTCCTGACAGGACCTCACTGGAACTCACATCAGTTTATGCTAGCTGCATGACTTTGGCAGGGTTGGGGGTGGGGATGGGGTTGGTTGCCAGAGGAACCAATCAGGTGATTCGAAGGTTTAAATTTTCAGCAAACTTCCCCCTCTGGGGAAGCAGGAAAGACTTGGATTTAGTTAAATGATAAAAAGGCCAATGATTTAATTAAATTTGCCTACATAATGAAACTCCACAAATTCCTGTAGACAACAGGATTCAGATACTGGTGAAGATGCTGGGAGGTGGGTGAGTCCAGAGAAGGCCTGAAGCTTTACAACATCATCCTTCAATGCCTCACCCTTTATCACTACCATTTGGCCATTCCAAATTAGCGTGCTTCATAATAAAGCTGTGATCCTAAGTAGGGCACTTTTCTGAGTTCTGAGAGACAACTATTGAACCCGTGGAGCAGGACAAGGGAGCCCCAGCACAGCTAACCAGTTACAAGTATGGGTAGCCATGGTCTGGGATTGGTACCTGAAGGAAAGGTCATCTTGCAGGGCTGAGCCCCTAACTTCTGGAACCTGATACTAAGTCCATGTACCTAGTATTGGAGAGGAACTGAACTGAAGACTCCCTCAGTAGTACCAAACCTCCCCAGGTCTGGACAGTTAATGTTTCTTTTTTCCTAAGTAATACGGTTGAAGTAGATGCCATCTTTGGATGGAGGTGGAGAGTTTCAAGCCAGCCTGGCAGTGAGGTGTGCATGGCAGCGAGGCTGACCAAACAAAGGCTGGTGTTAGGGCTACCGCGTGTCACACTGACCCGGGCTAGACAGCAGCAGTGATTCTTCCTTCCCGCAGAAGCCCCGTTCCCACCTGAGATGCTCAGAGGGAAGCCATGAGCTCAGAAAAGCACCATATTGTTCTGTGATGTCACCTCTGGAATGTTCCGAGTGTTTTGGCGACCAGTTTATGCATAGGACCTATACCTGGCACCTCACGTTGGTATGGATTTTTACTTGACATAGAAATAATAGTCTAAAACCAGGAAGAGCTGAAGTGATCTCTACTTCAAAGACTTGCAGGAGGGTTTTTATATCTGTTAATCCCTGTCTTGATTTTCGTTCAGTGATCAGTAAGACTTCTGGATAGGTACCATCTACATATACCGTTAGGCTGAGATTTTTTATAAGGTATATAATTGGTAAGGAGGGTATAAATGTGTAGAGAGTAGTTAGGGATTTCAGGTGAGCCACTGAGACCCTGAGGATGGGTTGGGAAGGAGAAATCTAATTTTTTTCTTTTTCTCAGTACTCCAGGCCAAATTTTACAAGAAAGAGAGATACCTAGATACCTAGATATCTAGAAAGCCTAGAAATTCCAATCAATGTGATTCTACCTCAGGTAGGGACAATCACGGGAGAATATAACTTAACCAATTTTAGCTAGCATAACCCTGTTCCAAACCTTACAGGATGAACAGAGAAGTCAGATGCTCAAATTCTTGTCATATTGGTTTTTTTCCTGGCTATGTGTCTAGGAAGATGCATGGGCTCTCTGGACCTTGGGATCCTCTGGCCTTGAATGAGGGGACTGGGTTGGATGATCAGGTTCTCCAGTGTTAGCCTTTCAAGGTTTGATGATACCATGAGAAAATTCTAACCTTACCAAAGGAGCACCTCCATTGCATGGACCACTCTGGATGTTTGTGGAGAACTAGAGTTGACCTTAAAAAATCCAGATGCTTGAGAATGAACTCAGGAGTTGAAACCCCAGCGTGTGGCCCCTTTGCAGCCCTCAAGAGAATTCAGCACTGCTATAGCTCGAAGATGGTTTACTGGGGAGGGACTTTAACTTGTTTCTTTTGAGGCCAGTGAATGGCTAAAACCCTGACAGCTTGTGGTTCCCACGTCTCCTGCACACAGCAGCTGCCTTGGGGGGACCCCTTTTAGTTAACTGTTCCTTCTGCTGCTATGTCACAAAGGGGTGGCCTTGCTTTCTCCAGAGTCACCCAAAAGCTCACTGGAAGACCAGGGTCATGCAGCCAGTGGAGGTGAAATGTAGGATGGAGGGACCCAAGGCACAGGTAATTGACCTAAGAGTTTGGTCTAGGGAGGTACGTACGGAAGAGGAAGGATCTCGAGCTGGTGTTCTGTATTGGTGTGATTGTAGCAGAGTCAGCAAATGTGGTCAGGAGGAGGCAAAACTACAGGACAAGGGGACAACCTAGGTATTTGTTTTCCTTACAGCATTGTGGTGAGCAACCACTGTTAGTTATGTCTTTTTCAGCTCGTGAAAGCTAAGCCAGAACATTAGGTAACTATGCCCTGGCCATCTTATAGGAGGACAAGGAACCAGGCTGGATCTGATCCCTAGTAGACAAAATGAGTGTGGACATGGTCCCTTGGGTACATAGGGGCAGACAGGAGATACCGGCCTAGATGTGGGAGTGGGAAAGGGGTTGGGGATAACGTTTGAAAGTAGTTGTATGGCTGTTCACACTACTGTGACCGAAGACCCGGCAAGAAGCAAGTTAAGGGAGGAAGTCTTCATTTTGGTTCTTGGTTCAGGGGATAAGCCCATTGTGAAGCGGAAGCTGTGGGGGTGGGGCCACATCCTCATATGGTGGAAGATCAACCTGTTTTATTCAGTCCAGGATCCTAGATCATGAACACCAACCATCTTCAGTATGGTCCTCCCCTCTGTCAGTTCTCACCATAAAGTCCCCACCCTTTCCTTACTGTCACGTGATAAAAAGATTAGAAAGATCCATCTACCCCGGCACAACTGTCTGTCCCTAGCTCCCAACACCAGCTTAGCGGTCAAGGAGAAAAGGTGGATTGAGAAGTCTTGGGTTTGTTCTGGTCCCCTCAGACCTACTTCCTGTGCTGTGGGACCTTGGGTCTTGGATCTTGGGTGACAGAGGGATATGAATGACAGAGGGATATGGGATAGGGCCTGGAGATTTTTTCATGGCCGGATGTGTCCTTGAGTATGCCAGCCAGGCTTAGTCAGTGGTCACCTAAAGGTCACTTAAGCAATCAGCTGGTGTTGAAAAGCAGGAAGAGGAGATTTCTTCAATGCGGCAACTCCGGAAGGAGTAACGAGGAGGTCTAGTGATCCTCTGAGTCCATCTTGGACAAGAAGTTTAAGTAAAGTCACAGAGGTTCAGGTAGCTAAGCAGCCCTGGTCTGGGCGTGGTCCAACCCAGCATCACCATGTCATCCCAAGTCTCTTCTGCAGGGTGGTCTGAAAAATTATCATGACTCTGTGAAATCTCTTTCTGAGAGATAGTCTTCCTCTCTGGCTGGCACCAGCCTTCAGTCTTTATCGTCTCCAAACCTAAGACTACTAGAGAAATTTCTTGGGGTCCATTGTTTCAATCATCTGATATCTAGAAGGATGGACAGTATCTCTTTAGAATATCTTCATTCCTGCCAGGATGGTCACAGGCACAAGCCAGGCAACCTGCCAGGATACCCTAGACTGGTGGTCTTGGGTAGGGAGGTAGGCATGGATTACTCAATGATGTTAACTGGTCCTACCTGTAGGGTTGTAAGAGAAGCCTGTACATCCCCAAATGAGATGCTGGGTGTGGGGGGAGTGGGATTGCTATGAGAAATAAGGTGAGGAAGGATACTGAGAGAGTGTTGATGGTGTCATGTCTGGTCACAGGGCCGCACAAGTACAAAGCAGAGATTTCACAGCTCTGGGAAATGGGAGGCTTAGTCACAAGGACAGAGCTGAGATGGAACCCAGGTCAGTGTCATGCCTGTGATTGATACTTAGTGGAGCCAGGTGATGTCTTAGCTCTAATTCTTTCTTGCTTCTGGAAGTCTGCATCCTCTCCTCTCACCAGAACTGTTACCACTAACCCCCAGGCTGCCTGTATGTTTGTGCCCCAGGTAGCTTTGTCCTGAGTTGAGTTCATTCCCTTTGGAAGGGAATTATGACAGTGCCTCTGGCTCCCACCTCCCAACCCTATTGGGTGGCTGGAATTCTCAATCACACTGCAAAGTCTGTGATTCACTAGTTATCGCCTTTAGGTCTTTTCAGGTCTTATTGATTTCACGTTTTTCTTCCTCACACTGAACACGAGCATTTTCACATCTATTTTCTTCTAGCACATTAGCTTAGAAAGCCATAGTGTTATTTTCTGTCCAAGCAACTGATCCCCTTCTACACACAGACTCACTCTTTCAGGCATTCAAACCTCCCAGTGAGCTCTCTGTGCATCTCATTAAGTCATTCAGTGCTAGAGCGTCAATGAAAGACCAGTGTTAGGTCATCAAGGAGAGTTCTACATCTGAATCAGAATACATCTGGATCAGAATGCGCTCTGGCACTACTTCCCAGTGCCCACTTGGTTTCCCTTTGTCTTTTTTCTCCTTCCTCTTTGGCTCACAGCAAGACCTGCTGAAATAGCTTCAGAGCAAGATTGTACGAGAGTCTGTCAATTAGCATCTTCTTTATTCTGGCATCTTCTTTATTCTCTTTGCTATTAGCATTAACAGTCTATCAAAACCAATCACTTTTACCTTGTGAATTATCTTTTCATCTGTTAGCAGTTATTAAAGCAAACCTTGTATTTAGCTATTTAGCATATCATTAGAGAGGTGAGAGGTTTATTTTATTTATTTATTCTTTTATGACAGTGGGACTCAGCCGTGAAAGTTAGCACTGTGGTTTTTCATTCTAGAACCCTGGTCCCCTTCAGGTTCACGTGCATTAAAAGCACTTCAACTGGCTGAGCGTGCCCTACGTTAACCCTCAACAGTGTTGGCAAAGCAGCCGCTTTAAAAGCTTGTTCAACTAGCTTGGGTTTTCTTGGGCAGGTGGGCATCTCGCCTGGGCGGTAGCAGTTACATCTTTCATGGAAGAGAGGAGAAACTTCAGTGTTGCTAGAACAAAGTGCCCAAGGCCAGACAGCTCACACAGAATAAAGAGCAAGATGTGACACTATCCTAGCTGCTGGCCACCTTCTGGCAAGGACCTTCTGTTGTGTCCCAGCATGGTGGAGGGCATCACTTGGTGAGATACAGCAAGCCACAGAGAACTCACTTTGTGGAAGATGTTCCTACAACAGCCCATTGACCCATGAGTAGGTTCATCCATTCCCTCATGACCCAGTCCACCTTGCAAAAGTCTCACATCTCAAACACCATTAGCACGCACCTTTGGGATTAAGTTCCAGCCTGTGAAATATAAAGGACACATTCAGACCACAGCAGTGCATGTCAGCTAAGCCTGGCTGCTCGCTGTCCAGACCTGTTCCCAAACTCTTTAGGGGGAAGGTCGGCAACCCCAGTAACTCCATCTAAGAAGATTTCTCCTTGAGAGTTGTGGCCCACCATGGTCTGGATCTTTCCACATCAATTAACCCAAGCAAGAGAATCCCTCAAAAAGAAAAGAAAAGAAAAAGAAAACCCCTTATAGGTATTTCACAGGACATCCCAATCCAGATCATTCCTCACTGAGATCTTTTCCCTCCAGGTGATTGTAGGTTGTGCCACATTGATGATTAAAACCACCCATCATGGATGCTATGTTCAGGAGGCAAGCCACTAAAAGGGGGGTGGATTTCAGAATATTT